TTGTTTACTGTTTGCTTGTTTTTTTTCCCCTTTTTTTATTAATTACACTTTATTCACTTTGTATACCTCCCCCTTCTTCACGCATGCCCCTCCCCAAGTCCACTGATAGGGGAGGGCCTCCTCTCCTTCCTTCTGATCTTAGTCTATCAGTTCTCATCAGGAGTGGCTGCATTGTCATCTTCTGTGGCCTGGCAAGGCTGCTCACCCCTCAGGGGGAGGTGATCAAAGAGCAGGCCAATCAGATTATGTCAGAGGCAGTCCCTGTTCCCATTACTGTGTAACCCACTTGGACACTAAACTGCCATGGGCTACGTCTGTGCACCGGTTCTAAGTTATCTCCATGCCTGGTACTTGGTTGGAGTATGAGTCTCTGGGAAGACTGCTGTGTTCAAATTTCTGGTTCTGTTGCTCTCCTTGTGTGGTTCCTGTCCTCTCCAGATCTTACTATTTCCCACTTCTTACATAAGATTCCATGCGCATTGCCCAATAGTTGACCATAATTCTCAGCATCTGCTTTGATAGTCTGCAGGGCAGAGGCTTTCAGAGGCCTTCCATGGCAAGTTTCTAGCTTTTCACCCAAACACAAAACAATGTACCTACTTCTCAGCACCTCACAGAACCTTCTCAAATATTGGCCATATAGTCAGCCACAAGGCAAGGCTCAAACAATATAAGAGAACTGAATGAACTCATTGCATCTTATCAGACCATGGACTAAAGTCAGATTTCAACAACAGAAACAAGAGAAAACCTACAAACTCATAGAAAGTGAACAAGTCTTTGCTCAATGACAACTGGGTCAGGGAAGAAATAAAGGACTATTGTATGTGATTGACATATTGTTTACATCTTAGCTTTCAGGTCCTGGAAGTCTGGTGCCCACTGTAAGGGTGGTGATGAGTGGTAGGATATTAAAGAGGCAGGTAGTTCAGAGGAGACCCATTATCATTAAAGGATTAACATGGTGTAGTTGAAGTCTCTTCTTTTCTCTCCCTAGACCAGTGATTTCCATTGCATGTCCTTCCTATCTGTTTTTCTGCTATATGTGAGTCAGCACATGGCGTGCGCCAGAAACAAAGCAGGTGAAGTAGCATACTATTGCACCTTTAGTACTATGTGCTAATACAGTTTCTCCTGGTTATCAGTGGTCCAGCCTCCCATATTTCTTAATATTCACACGAAAATAATATGAGATGAAAAAGGCAGAAGCATAAGAAAAATCATGCATGTGTAATGAAAAAGGATGCCTTCTTGATGAGTCTCAGATTTTAAATTTCTGTGTATAAAAGTAGCAAGAAACGTTTCTGTATTCCAAACAATTTCAACCTGCGTTATTTTTGAGGCAGTGGCTGAAAATTGGTCTGTCTTTTTAATGCCACTGTCAATTTACACAGGAGAAGTGAGGCAGGGCTAGCCATAGGATACATATGCTGCACTGATCCGCTTAGGAAAAGCAATGTGTTGATTAAATTTGACCTGGAGGGAGGGGTTCTAGAACACCTAAGTTTCTCTCTTTCTTTTGTGACTAAGATCAGAAGGAAGGAGAAGAGGATCTCCCCTAACAGTGGACTTGGGGAGGGACATGCGTGAAGAAGGGGGAGGGAGGGTGGGATCGATAGGAGAAGAGGGAGGGGCTTATGGGGAGGATACAAAGTGAATAAAGTGTAATTAATAATAAAATAAATAAATAAATGAAACAATTAAATAAATATTTAAAAAAATCATATAAAATGTCCTTACTGTGTACTTGAGCATCTTTTGGATATATGCCTAGGAGTGGTATAGGAGGATCTTGACGAAGCACTATTCCTAGCTGTCTGAAAAGGCACCAGATTGATTTCCAAAGTGGTTGTACCAGTTTACATTCCCACCAGCAATGGAGGAGGATTCCCCTTTCTCCACAACCTTGTCAGCGTGTGTTGTCACTTGAGTTTTTGATCTTAGACATTCTAATGTGTGTAAAGTGAAATCTCAGGGTAATTTTGATTTGCATCTCCCTGATGGCTAAGGACGTTGAACATCTATTTAAGTGTTTCTCTGCCATTCGATATTCCTCTACAGAGAATTCTCTGTTTAGCTCCGTACCCCATTTTTAATTTGATTGCTTGATTTACTGCTTTTTAACTTCTTTAGTTCTTTATATATTCTGGATATTAGCCGTCTGTCAGATATAGGGTTATGACGATATAACCTAGAACCCCTGCTCAGAGGTAGCCTATGGTAGCTCAGGATTCAAGTTGGTTTCCTAGTAAGAGGAACAGGAACTATTTCTGACATGAACTCAATGGCTAGCTCTTTGACCTCCCCTCACCCTGAAGAAGGAGCAGCCTTGCTAGGCCACAGAGGTGTACATTGCAGCCAATTCTGAAGAAACCTGATAAGCTAGGGTCATATGGAAAGGGAGGAGGTCCTCTCCTATTAGTGGACTTGGAAAGGGACAGGGAGGAGATGATGGAGGGAGGGTAGGATTGGGAGGGAATGAGGAAGTTGGCTACAGCTGGGATACAAAATTAATAAACTCTAAATAATATTTAAAAAAGAAAAACGTTCAAAGTAAAAAATTAAAAATAAAAAACAAAATAAAAAAGAACTTCAAAAAAATTAAAAATAAATCACATAAAACCATTCCATTATATTGTCAGTTAGTGTATAAATCATATTGTTAGTTATTGAATAAAGTATTTAAAATAGAAGATTAAAATAATATTTAAATGAAATTTGTTGGTAAATGGTGGGATCTAGAAAGGATCATCCTTAGTGAGCTGTCCCAGAAGCAAAAAGATACACGGTATATAGTCACTCATATAGACATATAACATAGGATAAACCTACTAAAAACTAAAGAAACCTACATCCAAAGAAACTAAGTAAGAGAGAGGACCCTGACTAAAAGGCTCAATCCCCATTGCAAAAGGAAAAGAGGATGAACAACAGAAGAAAAAGAAAACAGGAAACAAGCTAGGAACCTGCCACAGAGGGCCTCCTAAAGCCTCTGCCCTACAGACTATCAAAGCAGATGCTGAGACTTATGGCCAACTTTTGTGCAGAGTGCATGGAATCTTGTATAAGAAGTGGGAAATAGTAAGATCTGAAGAAGACAGGAACCACACAAGGAGAGCAACAGAACCAGAAAATCTGAACACAGGGAACTTCCCAGAGACTCATACTCCAACCAAGGACTATTCATGGAGATAACCTAGAACCCCTGCACAGATGTAGCCCATGGCAGTTCAATGTCCAAGTGGGTTACATAGTAATGGGAACAGGGACTGCCTCTGACATAATCTGATTGGCCTGCTCTTTGATCACCTCCCCCTGAAGGGGGAGCAGCCTTACCAGGCCACAGAAGATGACAATGCAGCCACTCCTGATGAGATCTGATAGACTAAGATCAGAAGGAAGCAGAGGAGGACCTCCCCTATCAGTGGACTTGGGGAGGGGCATGCGTGAAGAAGGGGGAGGGAGGGTGGGATCAGGAGGGCAGGAGGGAGGGGCTTATGGGGGTATACAAAGTGAATAAAGTGTAATTAATAATAATAATAATAATAATAATAATAATAATAATAATAATAAATAAGATTTAAATTGTTATAGTTATGCTCTGTGGAATCCACATTTTTATGCTTAATTCCTAACATTAACTTGGAGACAGCAGAGTATGAATAGTGAAGACTACTTCCTGATGTGCAACTGAGATAATGACATGCTGTTTTCCATAAAATCTAATGGCTAGACCATGAGAAGCTAACTATAATGAAATATGAAAGTCGTGGAGGGAGCCTGTGGGAGCAATTCAATCTCAGCAGCACCACTTAGAGGGCATCCCTTGGTTTGAAGACCAGTAAAGGTCCAAGACTTCCTACGTCTGAAAGCTGATAATCTGCAGATTCCTGTAATGAAACAGAGCACAGATACATAAATCAAACCATATATCGTGACAATATTATAAGGTGGTACTGAAAGCTAACTGAAAATACTAACACTCATCTAACATGAAAGACCACTTATAAGTACAGCTTCTAGACACAGAGAAATTACATTTGAGTGACAGACATTATCCAAGACTTTACATTTTGCTTTGAACCAGGATTTGTCTGTTTGAATTTAATTTAATGAAAATACAGCATTTATGCTTTCAAGCAAAGGGACCCACAAAACAAGCTGAGCAATATTTTATTCCTGCTGACTTTTCAGGAATCAGCAGCGGGAGGCACTTTAAGAAGATCCATGTAGCTTGGTTCAGGGGCAATGGACGACTGTAGACTTCATCGTGTACTTTTGTGCCTCTTCTCTATTTCCTTTGTCTCACCTAGAAGCAAAGCTTCAAGCATAGGACTTTAAGCCATTGATAGGTACCACAGGGCAAAGGTGTGTTGGTTGCCTGATTGAGTTCCTGAAAAAGAGTTTAAACTCCTAATTACCTCTCAGCATCAAGAATATCTACTAAATCATGATTGGTGTGAGATGTACAAGTTTGCTTCAGTAGGCACCAGGCTGTGAAATGAAACCACACTATACAAAAAAAAAAAAAAAAAAAAAAAGAAAGAAAAACAAGGCTGGCTATGGTTCATACTTGTAATCATAGAACTGGGGGAATGTTGGAAAGAGTATAAGGGCTTCAAGGAAATCTTGGGTTTCCTAAAGAATACAGTTGAGTCTGAGCTACATGAGACTCTAACTGGAGAATTCATCTCCCCCAAAAACTGAAGAAGTAAAGAAATGATATGTCAAGAGTTTACGGGAAATCCAAATATTATTATTTGGCTAAAGGAACTTAGTAATTAAATCATTCCTAATGATATTGTGCTATACCTACTGATCAGTGTCTCACGCAGCCCGGATAAAAGAAGTTTCTCCTGCAATAGACCTACAACTATACTATGTACAGAGAGGGAGAGAATGTGGAACACTCAATCTTAGATGGGACATCTTCATCAAATGTCTTCATTCGGAGTTCAAGGAGGTATGCAGAGAAGGAGACAGAAAGATGGTAAGAGTCACCTGCCCCAGAAGTGCTGCATATGTGGCTGCTGTGTCACAGGTGTATCAGAGGGTGGCGGAGAGGAGAGAGGCTATGTCTAGCCTCAGTGTTCTGACCTGTGAGCACCAAATAATTAGTAGCCTGACATTCCCTGAGAAAAGCAAGCCTCAGTATATCCCATGTGTGTTATATACTCACACACAAGTGGATATTAGCCATAAAAATATAGGATAAACATATTAGAATCTATAGCCCTAAAGAAGCTAAATGAAGATGCTGGGGAAGATGCTCAATCCTTATTCAGAAGGACAAATGCTATAGACATTGGAAGTAGGAGAAGACAGGAAACAGGACAGGAGCCTACCATATAGGGCCTCTGAAAGATTCTACCCTTTAGGGTAACAAAGCAGATGCTGAGACTCATAGCCAAACTTTGGGCAGAGTGCCAGGAATCTTAGGAAAGAAGGGGGAGATAGAAAGACCTGGAGGGGACAGGAGCTCCAAAATTAGACCAACGAAGCCAAAAGAACTGAGCCCTGAGGGCTCTGAAGAGACTGATACCCAACCAAGAATGATACATTTAGAGGACCTAAAATCCTGGCTCAGATGTACCCCATAGAATCAGTCTCCCAGGGGGTTCCATAATAAGGGTAGCAGGAGCTTTCCCTGGCATGCCCTCAGTGACATGTTCTCTGATCGCTTCCCCCTGGGAGGTGCAGCCTGACCAGGCCACAGGGGACAACAATGCAACCAGCTTAAAAGACATGATAAGCTAGGGTCAAATAGAAGGGGAGGAAGACTAGGGGAGTGGCATAGGGGAAGAAGTGGGAGAGAGAGAGGGATTGGGAAGAGACAAGGAAGGAAGGTGGGAACAGCCAGAATAAAATTGAATAAATTGTAATAAATGATAATAATTTTTTTAAAAAATAAAGCAAGCCTGATACCACCACCAGTGTGGGCTCCAGGAGGACTGGACAAGGAGTTAGTCTTAGAGGACCACCAGTCTGACACCAGGCAGGCCTGGACTGGCTCCTAGGATGAGAAGCAAGCTTGAGACTAGAGGAACCCAGCCAGGGACTTTGATCTGAAGGCAGATATGAGCCTGACGCAGATGGCCACTCCAATGAGGAGGGCAAGGAGGGAGCCCTGCATGATTATCACACTAGCACCATAGGGCCTGGATGGAAAGGTGGCCTGAGATGACCCTGCCCTTAGCCATCTGCAGTATTCTGGAGAGCAGGCCCCACACATTGTAGGAGTTGAGGGTAAGCTGGCCCCAGGTACGTGAGTCTGGGAGATCTGGCACTACCACTGTCTCCTGTGCAGTGGTATGGATGAGGGAGAGATCCCTCTTTTTCTCTCCTCCCACTCTCACCACCTGAAGCAAATGGGAGACCTGGCCCTGTGGTCCTAAAAGCAGGATAGCTGGTCCTATCCTTCACAGCTGCAGCACTCAGGAGATTAAGGCCTGCACTTTACCTGGGAAGCAGAGTAGACATGGCCCTGGATGTGGAGGTTGTTAGTGAGTCTGTACCAAGTGTGTGAGCATTTGAGAGCTGGCCCTGCCTCTTATCTGCCATGCAGCAGTGTTGGTGAGGGACAGACACCCACATTCCCTACCTCATCCTTTACCATCTAGGGCAGACTGGAGAGCTGGCCCCAAGGTTTATGAAAGTGGGAGAACTGGACATGTCCTTCACTGGCTGTAATGCTCAGGAGAGTGGGCCCTGCACCTTACCGGGCATCAGGGTAGAGCTGGCCCTGGTTGCCAGGGATTTCTGGTGAGGCCAGCTTTAAAAGACATTTTCATTCCCCTGATGTTATTGACACCTATGAAACATACTGCCTATGTCTGCTAACCTAGGCCTAGTCCTGGAAGCTTTTAGCCTCCATACCATCTAATCTAGGCTTAGAATATGTTTTTTTTCAGCCCCTGAGACTCACTGATAAATAAGCTCACCCTTTCTGGTTCTTTCTGAACTCTGTTGACTGGTTTAACTCAGCTGTTTTGCCTCAAACTCTTCTTATAGATGACTGATTCAAACTGGCTTCTCTCAGTTTCTGACTAAATTGCTCTGCTTGGCTTCAAACAAATTCTAGCAATCTGTTCTGATCTTCTGACTTATTCTGTCATCACCTGAGTCTCTCTTATTACCTCTTCATTCGACCTGTGTTGGTGAAACTCTCCCAGTAAAACCTGCCTCTGAATTTTATGAGCTAAACTGCCATGGACTCAGCTGCACTGTACTGACTCTCAACTCACTGACTAACTGAACTGGCTGAACAGAACTGAACAGAACTCAGAGATCTGTATGCTTCTTTATCTGAATGCTGGGATTAAAGGCATGTACCACCATGCCTGGACTTTAGCTTTTCTTTACCTGAAACTTACTCTATTGCATGCTGGCCTTGAACTCTGAGATCTTCTTGCCTGTGTCTCCTGGGATTAAAGGCATGTCTGTATTCCAACTGTATCACACAGACATAAAAGGTCTTTGGTTGTGATTTTTTGCTAGAGCAGCCATGTTCTGCATAAAAATTCCTCAATACTAGCCCATGGGCATCAGAACGTGAAAACACGTGGGATGACCATCTCTGATTCAAATTCTCAGAACCAGTTGCAGGGATTTGAATTGGCCCACCCCAAAATCTACCCCATCAATGAAATGCTGAAATATATTTTCCTACAGGTCCAAAACTATAGGATCTCCATGACACAGGGAAACAACGGGATATCTGAGAGGATTGCCCAATGAGGTTCCAGTATTAGTAGAGTAGCAGAAGTCAGAGGTCTCATACCAGACCAAGGAGTCATGGCAATGAACATTTGAAAGCAAGGAAACATGGATAAAAGGGAACACGGAGGGACACTCTGACACACTACAGCTTCCATGCGATTTTTCATTACCTTGTTTGTGGAGAGGGTGCAAGGGTAGAACCCAGGTACAAGAGGAGAAGGAGATTAGTAGGATTCAGATGAATGATATAAAATTCATAAAGAACCAATGAAAAGGGTTTTTTTCTTTAAAAATAATTATAAGAGCCAGAGAAGATCAAAGATACCAAGGAATAAAAAACAGAATGGACATAGCTATTAACTCACAGTGGTATTGGCAGAAAGCAAGAGCATACACAGGTTCAAGCCAGATGGGGTCTCAGACATAAACTCTAATTGCTAACCAAAAGCTATCTCTAACTGATGATCAACCACTTAAAGGAAAAGTTATTTTTCTCCAGCTGAATTTCACTGGTTATATAATCATATTTATGAGCAGGCTCCAGGACCAGCAGTAATTTCTAACACAAAATAACTCAGAGGTAATTTTTTCAAAATTTTTGGTCTCATATTGTCTTTTTTGATGCACATTGCCAATGATATTCAAGCTATCTAAATTTCCGTTGCCAAGACCACACCACATGAAATAATTAACTGAAATATTAAGAATTTAAATATATGAGAAAGTAAAAAAAAATAATCAACCTTGATTATTTATACCAGCTACACAACTGCACACATTTTTCTATGAATGTTAAGAGAAACTGTAGAGCTAGGCAGTAATCCTTTTGTTAGACGGAAATCCTGAGTTACACAATGTTATAGTCAACCCAGAATTGAGGAATAATATTTTAATATTGTTCTCACCTTGATTAAACTTCAGCATCATTTATTCCCAGCTACAGGGTTCTGACCTCCCTTTTCTTAAAGTATGCTCATTAGAAAACCAGAAATTTTTCTTCTTTCTCTGCTCCACTGACATGTAAACTTTCTTTTTTTAAATTTATTTATATTTTTTAAATTACAGTTTATTCACTTTGCATCCCCTATATGGCCCCCTCCCTTGCAATCTTTACTACCTAAACATATCATTGAAAAACCTGAAAATATATACTTTTAACAACCAATTATCCAGAATTTTAGGTTTCCTTATATCGGGTCTTTCTGAGTGGGTAGGAGCCTGAGCTCACTGTGTGTCAATAAACAAACACAGAAATTTAATCACATTGTCTGGCCTTCTTTGGGTGATGTCTATCATTTCGAACTGCTTCAAGTAGACTTTCGTTCTACTTGAAGAAGTTAAGTTCAACTGTCCATTGTAATCTTTTTGAATAAAAACATTTTGACTCTTAAGTTTTAATTTTTAAAATTTTTCTATAGTATAATTTGATAATTTTTTTATTCTGTCTCATACTCCTTTTAGATTTTCCCCTTCTTATTATCCCACAAAACTTATATTCAGCCCCTTTCAAATAAAACATACACACACACACACACAGAGAGAGAGAGAGAGAGAGAGAGAATTTTTTAGTGGAATCCTTTTTGCATTGGTCAAATATTCTGAGTCTTGCTTTGGAGTACAGTTGATATACCCAATGTCCAATGTCAGTCCATTAAAGAAATCTGTTCTCTCTCTCTCTCTCTCTCTCTCTCTCTCTCTCTCTCTCTCTCTCTCCCTCCCCAACTGCTATCACTTACAAATACATTCTCGGGAATGGATGGGACTCTGTACCACTTCCTCTTCTGTCATATTGGGATTATGTCTTTTGCACATTTGAAGGTCTTGTGCATAGTATGGGTGAGTTCCTGGAATGAGTTCATGTGTATATCAGTCCTGTTGTGTCTGGAAAATATTATTTCCTTGGAGCTATCCACCAAGTCTGACTCTTAAGATCTTTCTTCCTCATCTTCTAATTAGATCCCTGTTATCCAGTAAGCATAATACAACACATAAATAGACTTAAAAGACAAAAAAAAAATCTCATGATTGTTTTATTAGATTTCAGAAGAGTCTCTTGACAAAATCCACATCCATTCATAATAAAATAACTAGAGAGACCAAACACATATCTCAACATAATGAAGATAGTTTAAACAAAGATCACAGCCAATATCATCTAAATGTCAAAGTGTTTCTACTAAAATCAGGAACAAGGCAAAGCTGTCCACGCATTCTATATGTTCAATCAGTGCTCAGATTCTTAGAGCACTAAGGCAGCTGAAAGTAGATTAAGGGCAACTAGGTAGAAAATGAAAAAAAAATCAAAGTATCCTCATTGAAAGAAGATATTATTTTATACATAAAAAGACTTGAAAGAAACTTAGATATCTGAAAAATACCTTCAGAAAAGTAACAGGATACAAAATTAAAAA